TAGGTGCATGACTTTCTAACTAGTATCACTTTTGGTCCTCCGGTCTAATTTTCCGGCCACATATTACCAGAATTCCAACTGAAAAAATAATATGTTATAATTTGAAGGGTATTTTGATCCTTTCAAATTTATTTCATTTTTCTCTTTTATTTTTTTATTCTTCCAGCTTTCTTCCACAACTCTCCATTTCTATTTCTCACAAACTAACCCACTCCATATATCCACATCCTCCGTTTGTGAGGAATAGAAACGAAGAGCTAAGGAAGAAAGGGAAAGAAGAAAAAAATAATAATAAAAAATAAAATAAATTTGAAAGGACCAAAATACCCTTCTAATTATAACATATTATTTTTTCGGTTGAAATTTCGGTAATATGTGACCGAAAAATTAGACCGGATGACCAAAAGTGATACTCGTTAGAAAGTCATGCACCTAATTTGAAAAAAGCAATAGTCAAAGATCAAAAGTGTTTCAGCTATGATAGTTAAGGGACCAAAAGTGATATTTACTCTATGCTTTATTATGTGGATTTTCTATGATGAATATCTCATATGTGAGCCCAAATTTTTCAGGCTTTCCATATTCTGTCTGTCTTGTTACTATCATTGTATGAGTCCTAAACTTTGGACAATTCCATTTATATGATGGATTCTGATTAATGGTGTAAGTTATTGCCCCTTATCTCATTATTATGTAATTTATGGTGAATTATTGAATTGTGATTCGTGAGGTAAAGTGACAACTAGTGACAATAACTTAGCAACAATTGAATTGTTATTGTCCTTAATTCCTTTCTATGAGGCCCATTGAGTATAAAACAGGAGTGTTATGTTGTGCAATCGTGTGCACCAGGCAAATTATTGTGTGGATCATGGTCCACACAGTGTTATGTGAACCATAACAAAAAGTACATTTTTAATATACTAAATGTACATTATTTTTATACTAAATGTACATTATACAATATAATGTACACTCAATACGAAAATAATGTACATCCCCTTAATACAATGTACATTATTTTTGTGTTGAATGTATATTATTTTTGTACTGAATGTACATTATTTTATAGTATATAAAATATGGTCCACACAACTTGTATGGACCATGGTCCACACAATAATGATTGTGTGCACCATGCAAGGTGCAAACGGAATTGGATCCATAATTTCTATACTATAGATCCATTATTTATATACTATAGATTCATAATTTCTATACTATAAATTCATAATTTCTAGTTGTACTGTAGATTCATAATTACTATACTATAGATTCATAATTTATATATTATAGATTCATAATTTCTAAACTGTTTAGTTATCAAATTATGAGCATATAGTTCAGTGATTTGTGAATACAGAGTTCAACAATTGGAAATATGAACATTGAAAATTATGAACATTGAGTTTTGTAATTGTGAATATAGAATTCAATAATTATGAATTTATAGTATAGAAATTATGAATATATAGTATAGAAATTATGGATCCAATTCTCTGTGCATCATGCATATTGATGCACACGGTTGCACAACATAATTTGCCGTATAAAACAGGTATCAATATCATTTCAATAGGCCTTTAAGCCTTTTGTCTTGATTCTTTGAATCTTGAGTGGATGGTCTTATGGTCAATCTGATATGGTATATCACTCCCCCTTATTCTCATTTCCTTCTTAAATTAGTTCTTAATTCTTAACTCTTAACGTTTAGTGTTTACTAATTACTACTTTGTTGGTTATGATGATGCTTCCACCATTTGTTTGAATCAAAAAATTTTTAATTGGTATGTTTCTCATCATGAGTTTTGAGTTTTCTTCCGAAACTCACATAGCAATTTGCCTCAAATCTTACCTTGATATGAAAAAATAGCAATTTGAACATTTTTTTCTTTCTCAGCAGTCATCACACATCTAATTATTGTGCATTTGTGTTATTTGAACAGGAAGAGGCTGAACTAGTGGACTAGTAGTCTGTTGATTCATGAAGTTGTGGTAAATTGTAATTTGGACAATCTAATTTTTTTTAAAAATGTAATCTTTTTTATATTTCATATGGTGTAATTATGTTTCAGATTTTCAGTTTTTATATATTTTTGTAAGTTAATTCACTAATTGCAAGTTCTAATTTGTAAGTTGTAACACTTATGTTTTGTATTATTTTTTTTGAATCCGAACAAAAAAAAAAACCGACATTTGATTAAAATCGTCCGAACCCGAAATTATAAATATCCGACGATTTGATCTAATTAATAAACGGATTGGATATTTACTATACTAATAAGAGCCCAAGAGAGTTAGACTTATAATGGGTAGAAAAAATGGCAGTCAAATTTGTTAATCAAATGAATGGCTCAGATTGATCAGATTTTAAATTTTTCCTTAAGATTTCCTAATTTATCCTTAAAGAATATGATTATCCGTTAACTTTTTCGTTAAATATTATTTTTTCCGTTAATTTCTGTTAGTTCACCGTTAATTTACTCATTGATTTCAATAAGAAAGGTCTCAAGTTCGAACCTCATCCCAATCAAAGTTGGCATAATTAGTACTATATTTTACTCTTATTAAATTAAATAATAATTTACTAGCTACAACAAAAAATAATACATATGCATTTCTTTAATTTAGAATTATGTGTCTACAATGTCTTTATTCAAAAAAAAAAAATTATTCATTAACAATAAATTAAATAAGAGAAATAATTTCATTAGTTATATTGTCTTTATTTTTCTCCAATATAAAAATTCTTTACATTCAAATTTATCAATTGATTATATTCGCTACATTGTCCCTACAATGTCTTTATTAAAAAAATATTATTCATTATCAATAAATTAATTAAGAGAAATAATTTTATTAGTTATATTGTCTATATATTTCTCCAATGTAAAAATACTTTACATTCAAATTCATCAATTGATTATATTCACTACATTGTCTATTATCTTTTTTTTGTGCACTATTTTTTAATTAAATATCAAAGTTATAATACAAAATAATGCTATATATTTATTTACCAAGTATTTTATTAATACCATGAAAAAATTAAAAAAAATATAATTAATAAATTCAATCATATTAACTACGGGATTTGTTGGCAAAAAGAGTATTCAAATCACACAACAAATTGAAATCGGAACTACCTCGCAATGTCCTTGTTTCACAATCAGCAGTTAGCGGTTAGCGTTAGCAGATTATATTAGAGGATTTGACCAACGAATTATATCAACGGTTGGTAAAAAGATATTTGAAAAAATTACTTGTTTAGATTAACATGTAAAATGACCTAAGGGTATAATAATAATAATAATAATAATAATAATAATAATAATAATAATAATAATAATAATAATAATAATTGTTTTAAATATATATATATATATATATATATATATATATATATATATATATATATATATATATATATATATATAATTAAGCCAATCATATTAACTACTTTGGGGGATTTATTGAGAAAAAGAGTATTCAAATCACACAACAAATTGAAGTGGGAAACTACCTCGCAATGTCCTTGTTTGGCAATTAGCAGTTAGCTCTTCAATATTAGTATATATTTAATATTAAGCTCTTCAATATTAGTATATATTTAATATTTTATGCCCTAATTTTTATTTGTTCTCCCTTATGTCTCGTATTTAGTTTCAATCATACCAATACAATTATAATATTGACAATTATAATCAATCTTGACTTCATTAGCTTGCATTTGTAAACTTAGAATTACCTATTTAAATACGCAAATTCAACATTCAATTATCTATGCATGAACAATTCCAATATAATCTTGTCTTAATATACTTTAAAGTACTTATTAAAAAAAAAAAAAACATTGGGCATAATCCCAATCGCGCAATACGCGTAAAAAACTAGTACAAAAATAAAAGCCGAAAGCCGAACGGGTTGGGGTTGGCGGTTCATACATCGGAACGGTATGACGTACACCCCTAGAGCTAAGCTTTAGAAAATTAGGCATGGGTTGGGCCTGCTATATAAATCATAAGCCTAAGTCTATATAAAGGCAAATTATTATGTGGACCCGGGTCCAAAGATACACAATTTACATACTAAATGTTCACAATTTACCTTTTAAAAATTCACAATTTGTGATGACCATCTATTGTATTCACAAAATCTCAAAACTTAGAAACACAATTTATATTCCAGATGTTCACAATTACAATACTAAAAATAACAATTTAGGACCAGTGTCCATCTTGTCAGGTCAACACTGGTCCATGGTATAACCCTTCGTAGGCTTTCTGTTAGGCTTAAGCCTAAGCCTATAATTAGTCTGTCTTGACTTGAAACTTTTTTAAAAGCCTATTTAATGTAGTCTGACCTGATCGGCGACCATTTGTCGTGTTTGGAGAAGGCAAAAACAAGTTGCCTTCTCCGGCAACTAGTTGGTCGCTTTTTCCAGTCATTGGAGAAGGTGACCAGTTGGTCCGCCTTCTCCAGTCGACTGGAGAAGGCAACCAACTTGGTTGCATTCTCCAAACGCGATCAACAATTGTTTGACGATCGCCAGTGTTTGTCTCGAAATCTAGTCGAAAATTCGTTGGAGACTGGCTGGAGTTATCAAAGGGTCGTAGACATTGGCCGGTGAGTTGTCCGAACCATAGTGACTTGCAATTACAAGTCACCTACTGGTTTCTGAGCTTCAATGCTTCAAAATAATATGTTTATGGATTTAACTGCAACTTTTGAAAATTTAAAGGCATAATTAACATTTTGAGTAAAATTTAGGGACTTATTTGAACCATTTTCCCTTTCATAATTATTATTATTATTATTATTTTTGAAAGGCCCTTTTATAATTATTAGTTGATGTTAACTGCACAAAAAAACTCTGAATTTTGATATTAATATTTCCTACATAAGAATGGGGTAAGAGTGCAAGTGCATGACCCACGAGAGAATAGGGTGACCAATGATGTGGCACCACGTTGACAATCCTAAGCAAGAATATAATCCACCCCAGCTTGCTTTGATTGATACCAGCCATGTGTTTGTGTGAGATCCTTAAGGGCAAAACCAAGCAGCAAATAGTGCAGACCGGAGAGGAGAGATTGGAATATGATGATGATGGCAAAAACATGTGTCTCTGCATCAAACTCACCACTTCTCATTCGATCCATGGCTACCCAGAAGCCAATCCCCTCGGCCACAACAACTGTTAGCTCCAAAAAGGTCAGCAAAGTTTATATTTCCAAGATTCATAGTGTAAACACAGTTAGTAATATTGTTCCCAAAAATGCAGAGTGGAACAGGAACAGGAACAGGAACAGTGAAGCTACTCACAAGGGTGGAGCAGCTGAGGCTGCTAACCAAGGCAGAGAAAGCAGGGCTATTGTCAGCGGCCGAGAATTTTGGGTTCTCGCTATCCGCCATTGAGAGACTTGGGGTGCTATCCAAGGCAGAAGAGCTGGGAATTCTATCAGCAGCTACTGACCCTGGAACCCCTTCAGGTCTGTTCAGCCTCAGCCTGGGATTGCTAGCTTTGGGCCCTGTTTGTGTGTATTTTGTGCCTGAGGAATACCCTTGGCAGATTGGTATCCAGGTTTTGGTAGCTTTCATCTCTGTTCTTGGTGGCTCTGCAGCCTTTGCTGCATCAAATCTTGTATCTAATTTGCAGAAATCAAGTTGAGCTAAAGATTGTTGGTAATAAATGTAGAAAGATTATGAAATATGCAGTTGAAAGTTGGTTGTATGCTTACTTCTCAGTGGGTCTTTGACTATCTGATTGTCATATTCTACTCAACCAGTCTTCTCGAATCGAGCAAGGGCTAAACTCGGCTGACGCTCAACAATTTGACTATCTGATTGTCATATTCTACTCAATCAGTCGTCACAAATCGAGCAAGGGGCAAACTCAACCGACGCTCAACAATTTCCCTATCTGATTGTCATATTCTACTCAACCAGTCGTCTCGAATCGAGCAAGGGCTAAACTCGGCCAACTCGGCTGACGCTCAACAATTTGACTATCTGATTGTCATATTCTACCCAACCAGTCGTCTCGAATCGAGCAAGGGCTAAACTCGACCAACTCGGCTGACGCTCAACAATAACTTACAGATTAGAAAAGAGAAACAACAACCCAACAATTATCCAGCTGCAATTCCACAAGTATGATACACAGATTTCACAGAAAAAAAGGAAATGCATTGAGATTATTTTCCATAAGAAATTCAATGATCACATCTAGGTATTCATCTTAACTAGATTTAAAATAAATTTTAAAAAAAAAAACATATGACTCAGCAAAAACCCTGAGCATCTGCATATGTATCTTGTCTTCACTACTCCACAAGAATAAACAGGGGGTGGGTGGGTGGTTCATAAAAAGTTGGGAGTGCAAAATAAGTTATGGTCTCTCTGACTATGCAGAAACAGCATTTTTGTTCATCCCACCTTGACGACCGTTCTCATTCTGATCCACACGTCGGTAGGTTTCCACGTTGCGGCCGCCAGGGCCCTTTGAACGAATGGAGAACTCGGCTTGGTTCCTGAACTCATTTCTGCCATAGCCTCTCCCACCACCAAAGTTTCCACGGCCCCGGAAATTTTCATTTCGAAATCCACCTCTTCCTGAAGGGTACCTCCCTCTTGAATTGCTGACGACTGCAAAAAACACATCTTGTTCTTGTCAGAGGAGCATTTTTCAAAATCACAATCGAGGTCCACTTAATTTTTTAAAAGAAATTGAATTGCACAACTTGCCTCGGGTGGTAGTTCTCTTTTCCTCAACCACAGCTTGCCGACCTCCTATTGTTATTGGTGAGGACTGAAATAACAATAAAATTGTATGAGACACTGGAAGGTGAGACAAAAGGTAGCAATCATGGTCGTTCCAAGGAAGCATTAATACTTCATACACAATTGTTAATGTACATGTCTCCATAAAGTTTTTAGTTGTTTCCTGATCCTTGTATTTTGTAGAAGCACAACATATTCGTGAAAAAAAAAAAAAAAAAGCTTTCTGTAACTTACTATTTATTGACCTCAAGCAAATAACGTGAGAGGTGAGACTTGGAAAGCAAAACTAGGTTCATATTAGATTACAGCATCCAACAGACACATTAGTCACTCATAATTCAGTGAATCCCAAAATATGGTAATGCTAGATAAAGCGAAAAGATTAACCTAACAGTAGCATGGGGTATAAAGACCTTACCTCTATTGCATTTTGCATAGAACTATTTGACTCAAATTCCACAAATCCAAAGCAAAACCCCTGCTGCTGAGTACAAAGAGAACACTTGTAAACTCTAAGAAAATTATATACGGAATATAAGTTTGGATGAAAGGGAAAATTGCATAGTACATATCAAAACCAAACCTTGTTACTTCTGACTTGAATACCATTGCGTTTAATGAGTCCAAATTTCTTAAAAACCTCCTCAAGTTGTGCAGGAGTTGCATTTGAAGGCAAATTCCGTACATAAATGGAGTAACCTACAATTTTTAAGACATATGAAGTTCATTAAACTTACAACTGGATAAAATAGCAAAGTTTCATGATATTATTTCTAGAATTTTTTAACGAGTAATGCTATACACCCCTAATTTTTTTTCACCCTACATTTTTTCCCTCCTGACTTGGCATCATTTGATTGGTTTAAATTAGTGGTTGGTTAGCTTATTCATGGACACCCAATGATTAGGAGCCACATCAGGAGGGGAAATTTAGGAGGGGTAAGAAGCATTTTCCTTTTTTAACTACTTTATCTAGATACCTTCCTCATGGGCATCGTAACTTTCAGGAACATTATCATTCGAAGGGGGAAATGAGTCTTGTGCAGGTGAAGGCTTTTCAGATCCAACTGCCTGTTGATCAGACTTTGCAGGTCCAACTTGGGTGCTACGTGTTGGAGCATAGGGTATGATAGTACTGGTAGCTGCCTTAGTCACCTTCACCTATATGAGATTTGATGCAAAAATATTTAAGCTTGTCAAGTTTCCACAATTTGAAAGGAAAAAAGAATATTAAGAATGAAAGAAAAAAAAAAAAAAAGGTTGCAATAAGGGTGAGAGGGAACTTGAAATACTTACTATAGATGCGTAAGATTTCTTCTCATCTTGGGCTGCAGATGGATCTGAATTGTCAACAGCACTTGTTTCATTTTGACTTTGATGAGCCTGAGGCTCATTAACAACCTCCTCTTCGATAACTGATCCTTCTTCCTCATTGTCAGAAGGATCACAAACTTCTGCACCATTCTGTTCCTCAGATGGAGCAGTAGTTGCAGGATCAAATGTAGAATGATCAGGAACATGGATGGGCTCTGGAAACAAAGATCAAAGGGCACTTAGTTATGGATATTTATGAATAGATATATGTTTCTGTCATTTATTTGAAGAACGTGAACAAAACCTGGATCAGATGGCAAAACTGCTGGAGGAGCATCATTTATACCATTTACTGATGTAGAGTTATTCTCCAGTGATTCATTCTCCTCAACATATCGAAAAATGTCATTTAGGACAAAGTAACCCTTCTCTTGTGGAGCTAAAAAGAATGTTTGTGTAAATTTCTTGCTCACGTTGTCCTTTCCAGTTAAGCATCCTGTTACTAAAAGAATAACCCCTGCCTGGTGAGAGTCCTGAGCATCCGCAGTTTTTATCTCTGCCTTGTAGTTCTTCGAATCCAAGGACAAAATTTTTTCATTGATTGCCTATCAAGTTGAATGTTACACAATGAGATAAATTAAGACAAAAAATATCTCAAATTCTCAATGCTCTACTTTTACAGTGATATTGAAACCAGTACAGATAAAAATAAGATGCATTAGGAAAACCTGATATACTCTGTAGAACGTAAACTTATTACATAGCCAGATGCAATTTTTTTTTTTAAAGCGGTTGAAATCAATTCTTAAGCAGACAAGAGAACTGTTTGTTCACAATGACAAGCAAATCACTATAATAATGTGCTGAAAAATATTAAACAGTGTTAGACGACGAATATGCTGAATAATATTCTAATGGATTTTAATTATTTTTCTTAAATCTCCTAGTGCCAGGACAGGAATTCTCTTATTTCTTCACTTCTATTGTGGGTTTGGGGGATGTGAGTCATGAAGTTCAGCGCATGACAAGAACCCAGTCAGTCCAAAAGAAGTTCAATCAGTAATTATAAAGATAGTGGTTCCAACACATTATGCATTATGTGCAATAAGAGAAATCAAGAAAATACGTACTTGCATAGTTGTCACAGATGATATCATGCCATTTGGTTCTTGCCTGCTTAGGATACTTGAATCATGATAAAATTTGTAAACTAGCTCGGGAGAATGATGTAGGATGTGATAGTACTGTTCTACAAAGGCATTACCAACTATTTGGGCACTTGGAACAGTAGAAGCAGGACATTCTGTCTGCGTTGCCATCTAAATGACCTTCAACACAACATACAACACAATAGAATAATCTAAACCAATAAGTGAACAACCACAACTTCAAATATAAGAAAATTATAAATTTGTAATTGAGGCATTGAGGCATGAACTTGGAATACTTACATTTAGAGCAGTAGAAACTTTTAAATCTTAATAAAGTGCATAAATTCAGCTTGATGGTAAAGTTTGCAATAGTTAAAGCCTATGGCTCTTCATAACTTACAAACTGATCAATCCTTATGACATAGACTCATAAGTATCTGAATGATTCGTACTCACATCTTAACGTGGAGTACAATATAATCTTCACATTTAACTTTCGAACTAGGACACATTATTAAAGAAACAACCAAGGTCATAACTTACATAACCTTCTCATGATTAAATTCATATTATATTAAATCTTAGTAACTGGACATTGATAATTACTAACTAAAAAAGTAAAATCAAGAGGAAAATCCCACCAATTGCCATATGTGCAAATTGAATACAGAGGTCTATAACAACAGATCTTCAACAATTAATGACAAATCAGGGGAATCCATTTCCCAAGAAAACCAATCCTTAGATTTTCACTCTTCATTTTCGGTAACCTTTTTCATTCTAATCCCATTATTTGACATAACTACAAATGTAACCAGTTCAATACTTCGATATATCTTTATACAAATTTTGATCCGTTTAACCAATCAAATGATGTTTTAAATACATAGAATTATACAAAAGAATGAAAAAAAAAAAAAAAAAAAAAAAAAAAAAAAAAAAAAAAAAACCAATTAATTTCATAGATCCAAAAATAATCAAACCACAGAAACAGATAAAATCAACCATCTAACTAAAATATAATGAAAACAAAAACCCAACGGAGAGAAGAATAAAAAAATCATTTATCAGTTGAAACTAAAGCGTAAATCATACAAGTAGAAGACAAAGCAGAGTTCAGTAATAAAGTGAAACAAATTTAATAAAATAAAAATAAAAGGAATAGAAATCTAAAACACCTGTCACTGAGTGATTTGGGAATTCAATCAATCAATTGCAAAAGAGAGAGGAGTACAAATATGACAAGTATCTGATACTTTATAGCCGCGTTGTTGAAGATGAGGTCGCCCTAAAAAGTGACATTTTGTTGTAATTTGTAAATATATATGCTTACAATAGCGGCGTGTTTGGATCGATTGTTTTGGGTATTCAGTCAACTGATTGTTAAAGAGAGAGGAGTACAAATATGACAAGTATCTGATATTTTTATAGCCGCATTTTTTAAGATGAGGTCACTCTAAAAAGTGACATTTTGTCGTAATTTGTAAATATA